CTAATTATAACATGCTAGTATGATTTTAAAATATAACATTTTTCTCCATTACAAAAAGCATTATTTAAATAGCTTTTGGAATGAATCTATATATTAATTAGAAATAATTGTTAATTAATAGTATTTTTCATTAAGATATAATTACAATCGAACATCCATAAATATAAATATTAAATATACCTAATTTTTTCATATTCTATGTAATTATAAAAAGTGTTACCCTACGAGCCTTAATATCATTACGTTGGTATGAAGAAGTTATCACATCAAAGTCTTTAATATTTCTTTTATCCTTTTGTGATTCTGCATAACGGTATAAAACTTCGTTGTGTAATTCGATATCCTCCTCACAACAATAAGAAAATTGGATAATCGGAGCGTCCCAATTTTCTAAAAGAGCTGATAAGCTTTCCGCTGAAAAGATCCAACCAATTTCGAAATGCGATAATTTCTTGAGAGCAAATAATTCTCGTAATGGTGGTAAAATTCCATCTGCACGATGAAGTTTCGTTTTATTATACTCAATTATTAATTTTTCTAAAGGTAAGGGCGATTTCAACAATTCTATAAGGTAATTAACACCATCGTAGATCCTATTAATTTCCAGATTTGAGAGTTTTGGGCAATATCTACTAATATCTTGAAGAATTTCTGTATATATATTCGTAGTGAGGCCGAATTTTAAGCTATGAAGATGCTTGCCGTTAATTTCCAAGAATGCCCTGGTATTTTCGATAAAAGCCGGATCTTGCCAAGTATAAAACATTGAAATTTCAAAGTTTCTGAGTTTAGGAAAATTAGTGTACCATAAAGGGACGAATGATTTGTAATATTTTTTTTCTTGGAACGATAAATCTAAAGTTTCAAGTTTACTACAGTGAGTCAAAGACTTCATTGATTCTTGATCACGAATATATACATCTCTAAGTGAAACTTCCACTAATGAACCAACTTGTGATTTAAGACACGATATAACCTTCGACATATCTAATGTTATGTCAACTAATTGGAATTGTTTGAGTTTTTGTTGATTTTTAATAAGTAACTCCAACTCATCAATGAGCGGCGATTCATCATCCATGTCCTCAATAATTATTGAGGAAAGGTTACGACAAAGTTCGGATAATCCAGATATAAAGGAGCCACTACATGCAGTACCATCCAATTCTAAAACAGCAAGATGGGATAGACATGAAGCACCGGAGTATTTTGGCATATCGTCCACAAAAAAACCATCAACGCCTAGATCACCAATACTAAGTTCTTTAATTTTTTTAGAATGACCTATAAAAAGTCTACATAATTGTTCTAACAAATATTCTTCTACATCAGCCAATTCCATACTATCTTCTTCGATTTCATAATTAAACATTGATCCATCCGAACTTTCATTATCAGAACTTTCATGAACAGAAGTTTGATCATTATCATCGGATGAATCACTCTCGGAAGTCTCTAAAGAATCATCATCGTCATCGTCGTCGTCATCATTATCATCATCATCATCATCGCTACTATCCTCATCATTATAATAGTCTTCATTTTCATCAGAACTTTCTTCACACATAATACCATTATCATCAGAACTTTCGTCTTCACTACTTTCAGAAGATTCACTATCATCTTCTTGATCACCGATTCCAGTTGTTTTTACCCATTCAACCAAAGCGTCACCCAAAAATTCCAGGTTAAAAGATCTAAGATAACTTGGATAATTAAAAGTTCCTTTAATATTTGGAGCAGGTAATTTATGTAATTTTTCCAAATTTTCAATTATATCATTAGGAAAAAAAGACATATATATAGGAATAATTTTGTAAAGTTGACGTTCCTTAATTCTGTAAGAAAAAGGTTCACTCCAAAGATATTGAATCGCGATTTTACACCATTTACGGTTCACCAATAAAGCAGAATGTTGAGTTTTAACGTCATATTTATCAATATGAGAAATTATATTTTCGAGTACTTCAATTAAATTTAAAGCAGTATTCATTGGATCTTGTAAAGAGGTATTGCTTGTATAATCGGTTGGAATTGTTGGTGTCATCTTTATTTTTTAACTATTGTTTATTTATATATTAATACTATAAGAAAAATAAGAAGAAAAAAATAAAAAAAATGTTAGAGGTTGTTATTGTTTATTTATGAAAAAAGACACGTATTTACAAAATAAGAATTTTTCGACCTTATAAAAAATGCGCGCGACTTGAAAAAATGACTAATGCAGGGTAAAAGTAGCACTTGTTTGTCTATAAATTTATCGATCTGGTGATCCCAATTTTGTAAATCACGTGGCATAGTTTCACTAATTTTTGCGCCAAGTCTTAAGTCGTGATATGAAGAATTTTGGTAATAATTCTATCCAATAGAAACCGGTTAATTTAGCCGACATTTTCATCTAACGCTAGTAAAAAATTAACTGATTCGAATATAGGAGTGGTTACGTATTTACACGCCGACACTGTTTTCGACCATTTCGAAAACAGCAATTAAGTTTTCAAGTTCGTAACTATATTTAATTAATATATATCTATTCAAAAAAAATCAAATAAAAAAATTTTGAATGGGGCTCTTTTAATACGTAACACCCCATATAACAAATAATGCAGTGATTGCGATAGTACTATAGTATTCTGAACAACACTATGATTTCAGTGATTTGAAAAAAATTTGGGTGGTTGGCCTACTATGTAAGATTTTTAAAAATTATGTCGATCAATTTATTACCATAGCGATAGTATATAAAAGCTAGCATTTTTAAAATGTTTATAACTCTCTTTCTAGTAAACTTATAAATTTAATAAATTTTAATAGTTATTTAACGATTAAATAATAGAGACCTGCTATTATATTAATATTAAATATAGCAACATAGTTTTAAAGCCACACTATTTTTATATTATTTGCAAGTTACAGAATTGAATTTGCTTTATTATAAAGAGAATTATAACATTTTAATAGTATTATTTAAACGATTAGATTATAGAAAGCTACTAAAATTTATATAATAATATTAAATATGGAAACATAGTTTTAAAACCACACTATTCTTATATCATTTGCAAGTTACAGAATCGAATTTTCTTTACTAGAAATTGATTATTATATTAATTTTTTTTTAATAAATTGACCGACAAAATTTAAAAATCTTACATAGTGCTGCGGACATGAAAGCGGACGTCCGGTACAAAAAAATGTTCTTAAAAGTTTGACTACAGGACTAACCAAAAAATAAAAATAAAATAAAATTAAAATAAAATTAAAAAATAAAAAAATAAAATAAAATTTTATAAGTTATCTAATATGGCTAGTGGCAGTTGCTATCTCCAAAATTAGGGAAATAATAAATCGCGTGCTTTATCAATTATCAATAACGTCACGAAATTAAAATTTTTATTATTACATTATCGTTATTAGCAACAGTATTATTAATAATCTATACTAGAAATAAGTTTTTAAATTCGAATGTTATTATTAATCGATGATACCACCACTGTTTTCGTGAATGTCTATATCACACTACACGTCCAAGTCTCATCTCTATCATTTGGAGTACTTATATATTGATACCAAAGAGAACTATCAGTTTCTCCCACACATTCAGCGACTGTCATAAGTTTAAACCCTTTATCCAAAAAATGTTGAATCCCTTGAGGACCAATTTGTTCGCAAGTTGTTTGTTCACTATCATGGTTTACCGTAATATGTGATGATGGAGGACCAGAGGCTGATTTATACTTTTCTATACTATATTCTACAGGATTACCCACAGAATCGCCAACATCTATATCCCAAAGTACAATAGTATATCCAAAACTTCTAATTGTATTGCGCACTTCTTCATTATATGAACCATAAGGAGGACGGAAATATCTTGGAACCAATCCGATAATCTTTTTAAATGCTTTTTCAAGTGAAACAATTTGATAATGACTTCATCATTATTAACCATTGTCAAATCGGGATGAGACCAAGTGTGAGCAGCAATTTGATGACCTTCTTGATGAATACGTATTACAATGTCGGCATAATCATATATACAATACAATTCCTGTAATCACCATTAATGAAGAATGTAGCTTTTATATTTTTCTCTTTAAGAAAGTCTAATAACTCGTGTGTCCACTATTGGAAAAAAATAAATGATTAATTCTAAAAGGATAAAACAATTCCAAAAAAGATTACTATACTTGCCATGGATGGGCCATCATCAAAAGTAATAGCTGCGGTTCCATCGATTGCGCAATTAGCGATGATTTGTCCTGGTGAAACTACTGCACTCAAGACTGTAGGTGACCAAATGATGAACGATAAAGCTAGTAACGACGATAAAGCTAGTAACGAAGCGATAAATGATTTGCTCATATTTTTATAGATTTTATTGACTTAAACTGTAAATTTATTTGTTTTAGATAATCTTAAAATTATTTAATCAAAAAGCGGTCAATTTGTTGTTAAGAATTCTTTTATTTTTTTTTTTAAAAAAAGAAGTGCCTCTAAATTAGAATTTTAACTGGTCTTTTATCTTTTTTTTCGAAATATCTTTGTCATCACTACCGAGTGTATTGTAACTTAAATTAGGCACTTAGGCACTTTGTTAACTATACATATCCTGGTTCTACGCGTTGACTTAATTATGCATTTAGTAAAAGGGTGATTTGATTATTTTAAAGAATTAGATTAAAAGAAGTTAAATTTAAATTTTATTTTTGTATTATCTTATATTTATTTAATTCGAATTGCATGCGAATCCGTACGATACGTATTTCTATCCTTGGTAAATTTTCCATTTTCAATGCCTTCAGAGTGATGTACATGATCTTGTGCAATAAAAAACGAAGACAGAATCCTTAAAGTTTTATGAAATTTGCTCTGGGTTTCTATATAAAAGTTGTCAATACCATTTTTACATATGTATAAGTATTCTTACCCTACCAAAAGTTAACTTTAACTCGAACTTTAAATTTTAATATTTTAAAAATAACGTAAAGGCTATGTCACGATCATAATATTTAAATAATTTAAATTTTCATTTCGCTTACTCAATTATGTATTCACGTGAATATTCGACAGGAGTGCATGTAAATATCAAATTAAGCTTATACGTAAATCTTAGATACTTGAATTGGTGTTTAATACGGTTGTGCATGTGTTGTTTTTTGCACAAAAATTAACAATTACTGTGCAATTGCACAAAAAAAAAAAAAAATAACATTCCTGTATAAAAAAATTTTCTTGCTCAAAATGTTTGTGCCGAATTTTCAACACTGTTAATACGTATAAACCAGTAGTTACTAATTTTACAATATCGATAAGGTTGGAAAACAATATGTTGTTATTCAACTCTGTACAAATTAGTGAATGATATAAAACATATTCATAACACAAATTTTTTTAATGCAAAAAAATAAACCCTATATCCGCAATTGCATGTTCTTTTTTTAATTTAGCTGATATTATGTTTTAGATAAATATTAACCATCTCTTTTAAAAACACGATAGCGCAAAATTGAACTTTGACGCATCTCCCATTGGGGTATTGTATATCAAATGATTTAATATCATAGTGCAGCGCTATATATGATTTACACTATGTAAGATTTTTTAATTTTTGTCGATCATTTTATTGAAAAAAATTCATCATAGTAATTTATTATAAAAATCGTGTATCTTAAAAACGTTCTATCTCCTGCCCTAGTAAATCAAATTCTATATTTAACAAAGTTATAAACAAGTAGGAACTTTAAGAGTTTGTTTGTCTGAGATACTGAAAAGATAAGAAACTGTTCTAAAAATTTTGAATCCCTAATTGTATAAAATAAACCAAATAATTGAACATTTCTCTCTAACATATCTTCTTTTAATAGTTCAGTATATAGATATTCTTTGTCAATTATCTTAAAATTTAAAAATCAGTTTAAGAAGATGCGATAAATACTTTGTGCAAAATCAGAACCATAATTCCTACCCAATAGATATATTGTTAAAGGTAAATGTATTCAACAGCTTATCTATTTTATAAATCTTTTATTAGCTTTTTCTAAACCAAGTTTTATTTTCTAAATTAAAGTTATGAATTCTTGATCACATAGAGTTGATTGTGCTTTAATAAGTTCTTTTTTAAAAATGATAAGGGTTAATAACTGCACATTGCAATTTACTAACCTAGAATAAAACTTGATTAGGAAGCTTATAGGCATAATATCTAGGAGAAAGATACTTGAATATATTATTTTTAGATATTTGAGGTATATTATAGAACCCAGTTAGAAATTTAAAGAATTTTTGGTAGAAAAATTGCCCAAATTGTACTATGCATTTTATCTGAAAGTCAAGCTTTGTATTTTTTATTTACTCAACAAAGACCTTCCACTGTTTGATGTATCAAGTAGGTGTATTTTTGATTGTTCAAGTTGTTCTACAAACCAAGCTCTGAAAAAATGATGTACATTATAATTTTCTAGATATTAGTTTGCAGTTATTAATTGATATTACCATCAGCTCGAAATAGGCTTTTGATATTTTTGTAGAGTATACTGCAGAAGTATAAAGTTTAGCTTTTAAATTGTGTCAGATTTCATATTCAGTAGACAGTCTTTATTGCTTTTACCATAATAGTAAACAAGCTGAAGGAGATTATAAGGATATTCTCAGAGTGATAGTCTTGATACTATATTCAACTTACCGAATGCAGCATTTTTATAAACAATCAAAGCTATTTGTAGAGTATAGCGACTGCATGGAATTCTAAATGAAGATGCATTTGTTTGTTAATTAAATTCCATCACCTGATTTATATCCTGATATATACACTGTATTGTCGGTAAGCCAAAATCCACATTGTCGTAAGTCTAGTTTATTTTTCCTGCACGTTTTTTTTATTGTTTTAGCTACAATAGCTCTACTATATCTATTTAAATCTATCATTTTTGCAAGTGTAGCCATTGGTTTATTATATTGTTTACTCCAATGTAAGAAACAAACTAAAAAAACTTTCTTATCTTCTCTTATACTCTTATTAGCCATTACACTATATGAATAGGAAGGTAGATGTGAAGCTCTTGGCTAATTTTGCTCAAGTATTATAGCAGAAACTTTTTTATTCTATTGAGCAAGAGTTTCTGTTGATAACCTTTTATCTGGTGTTTCTCTAGTAAAGAAAATTATCATCTTATTAGCATATTTTGTTGCTACTGAGAGCAAAACAGTCCTGACATTACTTATATCTTGACAAATTCAGCTAAGTATTCATTTTTATTTTGTTTTATCATTTTTTTTGCTGTCATATTAATCTGAATTGGTGTAATTTTCTTATGAATAATAGATTGAATTTTAAAAATATTTTTTTCTTTCTCAGCTTTTATAATTTTTATACAGAAAGATCCAAGCTTATTATTCGAGTCTTCTAATGCTTTTGCTAATTTTTTATTTTCAGTTTCTAATTTTTTGACCTTATTTTTAAAAGCATTAGCAAACAAATAATGCTTGAAAAGACTGCTATTTACAAAGTCATTTGCTTTATTTTGTATATATTGTGACAATATTTCACCTTTCATATTGTTTTCGAAATAAACCATCATATTTACTAAATGCTCAATTCTCAAAAAATTTGTTGATCTAGTAAGCTTTTAATTTTATCTATTAATTTATCAAGCTTTTTTTCAATAACACTTTGCCGTTTGGGAGTAATCGAGTCTATATAATTTCTAATCTTTATTAATTCTTTTTGACTTAAAGAATTAATAAACTTATAAATATTTTCTTTTATTTTTAATTTTTTGGATGTATAATCTTCTGTAATGTTTAATAAATGTTTTCTTTTTTTTGTATGGCAGGTCATTTTTAATAGATTGGATTTACTTATACTAGATTTAGTACTTTGTATTAGATTTAATACACAAATAAACTAAATTATTTACTAATTTTTAAAATTAACTACTTTATTAAATATTTTTAAATAATATTTTAGCTTTTGGGCT